TACGGGGGCAACACTGAGGGTTGCGATCCGTTGCCGGACACGGAAAAAGACAAAAAGACAAAAAAAAAAAAAAAAAATAGCATCTAAGTGAATACTAGATGTTTGTGAAACATCTTTAACAGAAGTAAAAGAACTGAGAATCTTTATTTTTTTAAAATTTTAATAAAAATGTTGAGGAACATTAAGTGTTAACCATAAGACAGACATCTGATAGCACTCTGTCTAAGGAGGTCTGAAAAAGAAATTGTGAATACAGGTGAACAATACAGACTTTCATTAACGTTTTAATAAAAATGTTGAGGAACATTAAGTGTTAACCATAAGACAGACATCTGATAGCACTCTTTGTCTAAGGAGGTCTGAAAAAGAAATTGTGAATACAGGTGAACAATACAGACTTTCATTAACTGTAAAGAATAACATTCATCAATAACAGTGACTAAAATAGGCTATTAAAAGTGGGGAGAGAAGTATGAAACTCAAACTTGAAGACACAAGTAGGCTAGGTTTTTGCTAGAAGGGATATTAACCACTCAACAGACCGGAAGACTGGACTAGATAAAGCCTCATGAGGGTCTTTTTAGCTCTATAGTTCTATGAGGAATTTAGATAAGAGTTGAAAAACATGGGAGTGGCTGGTCTTAACCAAAAAATAACCCACATCATCTTCAGTCTCATGTCATTCAGAAGATGAAGACAGAAACACAAGATCTAGAACTTACTGATTCCTTTTCAACTTTTAACCAAAAGCTCTTAAGAAACCAGATTATATCAATGTACTATGAATTTACTGTTTCTTTGTAAATCTGAAACACTACTGTTATTTAGTACTAAGTTCAGCACAAGATGATATATAATTGCTCAAAAAAAAAGAAAGAAAAAGAAAAGAAAATGAAAGTGGAAGTAATAGGATATAGCCCAAAATCTAAATTCCAACTCTACCGTCACTATCTATGCAATTCAGACAAGTTACTTAACCTCTCTAATCTTGGTTTACTAGCTTGTAAAAGGAGTATTTTAAAAATACGATCAGGAAAATGCAAATGAAAACCACAGTGAAATACACTTCATTCTCACTACGATGGCTAAAATAAAAAAGACAATAACAACAGTTGACGAGGATGGGGAGAAAGTGGATTCCTCAAACACTGCTGGTGGAAATGTAAAATGGTACAGCCCCTTTGGAAAACATTCTGGCAGTTCCTCAAACAGTGAAACACAGAGTTGTCATATGATCTAGCAATTCTACTCCTAGGTTTCTTCTACCCAAGAGAAATGAAAATATACGTCCACACAAACACTTGTACATGAATGTGTTAAATCAAACTAAAGTTTTGGCCTGAGAAAGCTTCCGTACTGACTCTTAAGCTCTTACGTAGGAACCACAACCTAACTTGCCACGTGAGCACAGGGGCAAATCGAAAACCTAACTTAGAAGTGTGCCTCTGTGACGATAGCTGAATCTCAGCCAATTGCAACCAGTCAACTAGTCTGTATCTCGCATCATTTTTCTGTACTGTCACTTCCCTTTTTCTGTCTATAAATCTGACCATGAATTTTTGGCATAGTCCCTCTTAATCTGTTCTGACTATGGGCTGCCCTATTTGCGAATCATTTATTTTTTTTCTTGCTCAAATTAAATTTTGTTAAATTCAGATTGGCTGAAGTTTTTCTTTTAACAATGTTTATAGCAGCATTATTCATTACAGCCAAAGAGTGAAAACAACCCAAAAGTTCATCAACTGATGAATGGAAAAATAAAATGCAATGTATCCACACAACACAACAGAATATTACGCAGCCTAGAAACCAGCCACTAAACCAACATTGATAGTACTTTCACATTATTGTAACAGGAAAGGTGAGACAGAAAATTGAGCATGGTATCCTTTTTTTCTTATCATACTGTTCAGGTAGTATAGAATTAGTTCCTTTTCTGTAGGATTCCTCAGGACCTTTAACTACTAATATACATTGGAATCTCAAAGAGGAAAAAAGATTATACAGCATTTCTAAAATTTACTTCACAACAGGACTACCCTCCCTTCTTATAGTCCAGAAAGATTAGCATCTCCTACACCACTGCCTGTCAGAATGGTAAAGTTCAATCATACAGGTGAAACTCAAACAGATACTTCATCAGCAGATGAGATTGTCTGCAGAGATATAAATCCCACATCAACACTTTAAGAGAAACAAGAATGAACTCATTACCTTTTGGTGGTCGTCTCTGTAACACTCCTGCTGTACCATTTCCAAAAGGTTTAGAGCCAACTGCTGCCTAGAGGGACCTTCTTCATCCATGGATCTGCAGTCTTCCAAGGCAGTAGAAGATAATATCTGCAGAATTGGCATCACTAGCAGAAGAGATGACTTTGGGATTTTCTGATCCTCAGCAAAAGAGAGGAGCTTCAAAGCTATTCACGAAAACAACAATAATTCGCATTTTAAAAATTAATGCCACAGTCCAACAAAATGCAATTTTGTTTGAGTCATATGCCAGAGAGTTTTATTGCCCCTTTACAACTGGGTCAGACATATAACTAAGATGATAAATCTCATCCTAATAGTAAATAAAAGGTGCATAAAAATTAACTGTTATCGGGCCAGCCCGGTGGCGCACTGGATAAGTGCGCCCCTTGGGAAGCGCGGCGGCGCTCCCGCCCGAGGGTTCGGATCCCACATACAGACCGGTTCCCGCTCACTGGCTGAATATGCTGTTAATGTATATAACTGAAAAACTGATGATACTCTGAGAAAATACGTATTGTATATCATAAGGTATAAATCAACTCCTTTTTAGGTCACTATAAGTTTTTTTTTTTTTTTTTAAGTACAATTCAACATTTGTCCTCTATACCCTCTCAGATCCTCCTACTGCCCTCAGCAGAGTCAAGAGACCAGGAGTTCCTGTTCAGTGGATAACAAGGCCAACGTACATGCTTCCCTTATAAACCCAGCTGAGAATCATATGAGCGGATGCTTAAGTAAACAGCAAAGTGAAGCAGGACTGCCCTTCGGCTATAATTGCTAAGAAGATCACCAAAGTCCCAAAGTCCACAGCCAGCATAACAAAACCATTTTTAAGAAGTGATTCTTTTTTAATGTGGAAACAACTTACACATCAGAAACATATATACAGATGTACAATAACTTAGTTACATGTCGAGTGTCCCTTAGACTATTAACAGAATGAGTTAAGGTATAAATATACTTTTTTCATGGTATTTTTACAAGGTTATTGAAAAAACCCTGATTTACTGTAAGACATTATTCATAGGCTTCAAAGCTAAATTAACAAAGTAATCAACTGATTTCCCCACTACACCAAAAAAATTTTACATGCCTTAAATCATGTCAATGAGTAGTCAGTACTTTATTTTAAATAATTCAGAAGTCAAACCTTAACATGATATAAAACACAAATACCTGTTACTCTAATGCTACTAATTTACTTTTTTTGCCTAAATATTGGTCTTAATCTATGATTGTCCCTGAGATACCATGAAAATCCATTATCTTTAATAAAACAGGAAATGCATATAGTACAAATATTTCAACATCTTCAGGCATGTTATAATTTGCTATTTACAATCAAGGCAAGTATTAATAATTACAAAGCATAATATTTTATTAATGCTGTTCTTTTTTTTAATTTGAAATAATCAGTGTTCTCTTCATCACCCTATTTCTTTGAATACTCTTTCCCAATATACAGAACAACAGTTCTTCCTGACTTTTCAACATGATGTACTGGCTCGAAAGTTTTCAGTATGTTTATTCACTCTAACGAAGGTAACTTCAAATCAGAGACACTGGTTTACAAGACAGAGAAAAGTCTGCTATCCAACAAACAATAAACGTATTTTGAGTGTCTGATCTTGTATCATCCTTCTATTATACATGAACCACAATATAGGGGTATAGCTTCAGAACTAGAAATGTGGTTTCTCTAGGGCTATGGGCTTTTTGTCAAAAACCAAAATCCATTTATGAAATGTCCAGAAAAGGCAAATCCATAGAGGCAAAAAGCAGATTAGCGTTTGTCTTGGGGGGTGGGGGGGGATTTGTAGTGAGATTAACTACAAATAGCACAAGTAGTTTGGGGGTGATAATGGAAATGTTCTAAAACTAGATGATGGTGCTGGTTGCACAAATCTATAAATTTACTAAAAAATACTTTATTATACACTTTAAAATGGTGAACTTTGGGCCGGCCCAGTGGCGCACTGGAGAGTGCACCGCTTGGGAGTGCGGAGGCGCTCCCACCGAGGGTTCAGATCCCATGTGGAGATCGGTTCCCGCTCACTGGCTGAGCGCAGTGCGGGAGCAACACCGAGGGTTGCGACCCCGTTGCCGGTCCCCGGTACGAGCGCGACACCGAGGGTTGCGATCCCGTTACCGGTCAGTAAAAAAGACAAAAAGGAAAAAAAAAAGGTGAACTTTATGGTATATACATTATACCTCAATAAAGCTGTTTTAAAAAATAACACTAGGGCTACCAGAAGTAGCAACACTGGTTAATTATTCGTATGGGAAGATCACACATATGCTGCTCTAAGAAAATAAAAAGAGAAAAACAGATCAGAAAGGGATTGGTGAGGAGAGGCACAAATGAGCACCAGGCCAACAGGCAAAAGTAGGGTAGGAATCAAAAGCCAAGGAGCCAAGGATCCCCTCCTCCACATACTAAAGCCATTTCCAAGGCATATTGTAAGTGAAAGAGCAACTTACTCTCAAAATCCATGATGAGTTAAAATGCTCAGAAGAATGAGCTATACAGTAGGTATTTATTCTCAAGCACTTTTTTAGGATGAGCATGGGAGTATATCAATGTATCATGGCACTATACAACAACTGACACAGATCCCCCATTACTACGTGGATTATACTGGACCAAGTAGAATGGGGCAACATAGATGTAAAAGCCACATTTTAAAGGTGTGACTTCTTCACCATCTGGCAGACCAAGCAACTTGATTCTTTACCACACTATTCTTAACTAGAAATTTTTGCCTCCCCCTTTTTCTTTAAACCAATAATTGACAGTCAAAAGAGTACTCTCTTTCATTTGTTCTAGCTAGGTTAATACAATAATCATAAACTAAATTTTGTTCAATGTAGCATCAGTTATGAAGAAAAAAGGTGTATAGAGTTTTGAAAGCAAATACCACTGCTAAACACTTATTTTATTTCAAGGGTTTTATGCTATTCTCATTTTGCTGTACAACTGTGAATAAGATGATATGTCTTTTAGTATATTTAAGAATGTCACCGCTATATGATTTAGATTATAACCCCCTAACAGGCAGCTAAGATACTTGGTAAATTATGGGATATGGAAACTTGCACAAGGTTACACCTTGCTGGACAATAATAAAAATCTATTTGATAATGATGAATTAGGAAAATTCCAGAATAGAAATTCAAATATAGGGCCGGCCCAGTGGCACTCTGCTACAGTGCGCCGCTTGGGAAGCGCGGCGGCGCTCCTGCCGAGGGTTCGGATCCCACATACAGACCGGCCACTCACTGGCTGAGCAAGGTGCGGGAGCAGCACCGAGGGTTGCGATCCCGTTGCCGGTCCCGGTCTGGTACGGGCGCGACACTGAGGGTTGCGATCCGATGCCGGTCACGAAAAAAGACAAAAAAGGGAAAAAAAAAATTCAAATATACTAGACAGAGTGATATATAGCTCAAGTGACTCCTGCTGCACTTGTGTTTTTACATTTTAGTCTAGTGAGTATATTTTTATTTACCTAGACTTAAGATTGGCTTCTGCTGACTTGCCGGAGTCTGTAGAAGAAGTATAGCAATTCCAATTATGACCAGCTCAACAGGAAAATCCTAAAAGAATGTTGGGGGTGGGGAGAGGGAAGAGTTGTTTAAGAAGTTCCCAGAATCATGGCTTTATAACATGTATCCAAGAAGAGTATATTTAACATGAAAGATTATAAATCTATTATAAAAAATTATTTATACAGCAAGTGTACTCTACTTAAGAAAGAATTGGTGAATGCCACACAGTCAAACATAAACTCAAAATGTTACATTATATGGCCACAAAGCAACAGGCTATAAACCAAAATAGTTAGTCTTTGCAAAGCATTGAAAGTTACCTGAAATACTGAACTTAAGAATATTTCATTTCTGAAAAGTAGATCAATTTTCTGCTTACCTAATGCAGGCATGATTCACCTACATAACTCACATAATGAATTACATGAAACAAATTTTAATAAATCACGTTATTATAATAAAAGAAATACTAGTGCCAGGGAGGCAGAGATTATTTTTAAATTATAGTAATTTATTAAACATATTTAAATGTAGCAAAGCAATAACCATAAAAACATAAAATCATTAAGTTCATCAAGTATATAAATAAAATGAAAAAAATTATGTACATTATGTTCTAATACGTAAAACGCAAGTGACATAAGGTGTTATTTGGGGTTTCTAAATAAAGAAAACCTTAATGTTTTATGGAACTAAAGAAGAAATGTCCAGCTGAAATTACTTCACTCTGAAATTTTAGAGAAGCACCTGCAGAGCAGAAGTACCTATGAATCATAAGGACAGGCAAAAAAATGAATAAATAAAAGGAAATCTGTGAGGCAGAGCCACATGTTAAAGAAACACTTGAGAGAAAACAAATTAGTCTAACACACGCAGAAGTCATAATCTTGGAGATGCTATCAACTCTAGCGCAAGTTAATAAAGACCCTATATCTCTGTTTTACTATTTGAAGAGTGAAATTAATCAAACTGAAAAATCTTCTAACATGCTTGTTTATGGACTTTAAGAAAAAAAAATCAAAAGAATAAAATTAATTTGTAAATTCTTAAAAATGGAATATATTCCAATTTGTGTCTTTGGGGACTATATATGTTCACCATTTTGAAATATGGATGAGAACAACAAAGCAACCCATCTATCTTATGACAATAAATACATTTTGAAACCAACGCTCTCACGCTATATGACATCACACCATTCTTTGCTATATTTTCCTAAATCTCATTTCAATTTCTGCATGTCCATTAAAAGCAAAAAGAAAACCAGCAAAATCATTTAAATTTCAAACTTACTAGCCTCCAAGAGGATTGGAGACAAATAGAAGCATTACTGTATACTAATGCTATCACTGAAAAGCCTTTTTCACACAAGCTATCACTGAGAGGGCCACAAAGTAGCTTTTTAGGGTTCTGAAATAAAATAGAAGCATTTAAAGTGGATGGAACTCAAAGATATAAATGAAAAAGGCCTTCTCCAGAAAGGATGACACTGGCCTGTTCAGGAAAGAGGGTGAAACGAAAAGAGCTGGAGATTCAAGACATCAAAAACTAGGAAAAGTAAATGGTGGAGGATTACCCTAAATAAATCTTAAATTGCTTAGAATTTTGAGAAGTTAGAAGTTTTTTGTTCGATTGATTTTTAATGGACACCAAAGGCTGGTAGCACTTAATGAGATCTTTTAATGTAAGCCTGTGTTGGACATCTGGTGTGCCACTTCCAATACCACAGCTACTGCTATGGTAAGTGGCTCTGCACAGGTGCAACCTGATGGTTCTCGCCTTGGGCCCCACCATGCACCTCTTGCTTCGAACAGCAAGCTCCAGAAGTGCAGAAAAATTAAAGCCCCACAGGCCAAGACTTGACAAGCTAGCAATAGGACCCATGGGTAAATGCTTCCCCCCTTATTCTGGATCCCTCTGGAAGGTTCTGATACATATTTCATAAGGCTTCTCTTCTGTGGGATCAAGCAACTGGTTGATGTAGCAGTGTCCAACTTGATAATGTTTGTACTACCTCTTCCACTTGCTTCCTGGGATCACATTTCCAAGTGAACTCCTGTCACATAGCCTTTGCTTTTGTGGGAACCCAGTCTCCACTTTTGCCTTTAGGAAAACTCAGGCTAACTCTGAGCCTATCTAGAGAAAGAAAATAAAATACAAAAGAGAAGTAAATGCTTTTATACTCAGCCACAGATGTCAGAGGAGTCTTAATAACAGAAAACACTTGGAGTCCACATTTTTTGTCTTCAACTCAAATGAAAGATATCAATGAATATCACCTATGTACCAGGCAGTAAGTTCATATGCTGGGTCTAGGTATGCCACTATGAACAAGATAGGGACTATCATGGAAAAAAAAAAATTTTTTTTTTAAATGAAAACAAGTTATAAGAAAGGGTACACCCTGTAGCTGACACAACAGAGATGGCAGCCCAGCTTGCACACCTCCCAGTGCCACAGCTTTGCTACCTACCCTGTCCTCTGGCCAGAGCTGACTGAGCCAAGCTGGGCCAAATTGATCATTTTTCGTAGGAAATCTGAAAACTTAAACTGAGAGACACACGGTTAAGAAAGGGGTTGGAATTGAATCAGCTTATGGCAGTGTCTTAGAAACCACAAGTTCCTGACTTTCCCAAGGCTGGAATGTTTACTCGTCCTTCACTTTGAGTGCTACCCAGTCTTCTCCAAATCAATATCATTTTTGCCCAATTTTGCTGATTTGAGTACATTTATTTTACTTGAAATGGAAAGAACTTTAAGTTAGGATAATTCAAACTGGGCTAAAAATAGCTCAACTAAGACCAAATCCACCAAAATTAATGCAATCTAAAAAATAAATCCATTTCAGTACAATGATCCATCTCTGATCAGATTTTTCAATACATAGACTGCAAGGAAAAAAAGAGGTAAGGGGGGGACTGAAAGGAACCACCTTTAGTTTAAAAGACAACTAAAAAACAGATCATACACATAACACCCCAAAACTATATAATGATGTTTAGAGACACAGACTTAGAGAGTAAGACTATAAAGAAATATAAGGAAGTTATTACTATAGAAGTCAGGATAGTAAGGGGAAAGAGAAGGTTATGATTAGGACTGGGCTTATGGAGAACTTCAGGTGTGGCTGGAAAAGTTCTGTTTCTTGATCTGTGTGATGGTTACAAGGGTGTTTACCTTATATGTGAAATAAATTATAAAAATCACCTGAGGGTGCTAATTTAAAATGGAGATGCTTGGTTCTCAGAGCTACGAAATCAGCGTCTCCAGGAATAGGCCCCAGGCATTTGCATTTTTAATAAACTCTGCCTAATGATTTTTATGCACACTAATTTAAACCATTTGACTACAATGTAAGCTTCATGAACCTTGTCTATTTTCAACTAATGGCTATAGCAAAGTGCCATAGGTAGCTGCTTAATAAAGTATGCTAAACGGGATGGGGTGGAGGAGTGTACAATAAAATGATCAGAGAATAATACTAAAAGGGATAAACTTTATGAAATTGTAATTCATAATTATGTCTACAACTCACATGAAGCTAGTACAAACACACAGAAACAATACAGGTTTTCCTAACTATAGTATATTTACCGTTAATAGAATTCCTAGTAATTTACCTATATATTTATCTATAAAATTTATCACATATTATGAAATATATATTATGTTACACAATTATTATATAATACATATAAGTATATATTATACATACATAATTGCATATAATTTTATCTATTATACATAATAGATATTATATATAACATAAAATATGTAACATAATTATACAATATATAATATTATCTGGGGTCCTAGTATATATGAAACCATTCTAATCATAAGATTGACAAATTTACAAATGACTTCTTGCACCTTCCTTGGTTCCCATCTACGAAAATCTATATTCACTCTATTTCCTCACCTGCCATTCAGTCCCCTATTCCAATTATTCCCACACCATCACTGCTGAAACTGCTTCCTCCAATGTGAATAAACTTTCATTTGCTACATCCTAAGAGTACTCTGCATGAATTACTTTACATCTTCTCCATGACACATGACACTAATGACCATTCCCCCTTATTGAGATACTCCTTCCCTTGATTTCCACGTCTTCTGCCTTTTCTGCTTGTCATACAACCGTTCTAGCCATACTTTCTCAGGCTCCTCTTTATCAGTACACTCCAAATATCAAAACTCCTGGAGTTCCACCCTAACCCTTGTCATCCAATCCCAGGGTTAAAACTCTCACCCCACAGTAGATATCTATAAATCACTATACCTTTAGCCTAAGCTTCTATCCTGAATTTCAAAGCCTCATATCCAACTACCTATAACCCATACATATCTCAAACCACACATATCTAAAACCAAATTAATGATCCAACATCAGCTACTATTTCTCAGAGTGAACAGCATCATCCAATAGCTCAAAATAGAGAGCTGAGTCTCTACCAAGGACCCTCTCCTTGAATATCTAATCAACCACGAAGTTCTATTGATTTCATCCCCTGTGTATCTATTTTCCCACTCCTAATTCCCTAATTAGCCCCTTGCTATGGTCTGAATTATGTTCCCTCAAAATTTATATGTTGAAGCCCAAACCCCCAATGTATTAGAGTAAGAGCATTCTGTAAGTCTGTTGAGATCAATGTATTTGGAGTAAGAAAGTAATTAAAGTTAAATGAGGTCATAAGGGTGGATCCCTGATCCAATTGGGTTAGCGTCCTTATAAGAAGAGACACAGGAGAGCCTTTTTTCTCTGCCATGTGAGGATACAATAAAAAAGCATCTATCTGGGGCCGGCCCGGCAGCGCACTGGAGAGTGCGCCGCTTGGGAGTGCGACGGCGCTCCCGCCGAGGGTTCGGATCCCATGTGGAGACCGGTTCCCGCTCACAACACCGAGGGTTGCGATCCCGTTGCCGGTCCCCGGTACAGGCGCGACACCGAGGGTTGCGATCCCGTTACCGGTCAGTAAAAAAAAAGACAAAAAAAAGAAAGCATCTATCTGGAAGCCAGGAAGAGAGCTCTCACCAGGAACTGAATTGGCAAGCACCCTGATCTTGGACTCCCCAGCCTCAAGAACTATGAGCAATAAATTGCAATTGTTTAAGCCACTCTGTGATATTTTGTTATGGCATTGCTAAGATAGCCTCCTAACTTCCTGCCTTATTGGTGTTGTCCCACCCCAAGCCCTCCTTCACTCTCCCATCAGAATGATCTTCCACACACAAAAACTGAGGGCATCTCTCTACTGAAAGGTCTTCAACAGATGCCATTGCCCAGAAGATAAAATGTAAACTCATTTGTGTGGCATGGAAGACAAGCCCAGCTTTACCTCCTACAACTTAATCCTTCAACAATACTCAACACTTACTTTCTGAACAGGCCATGCCTGCCTGCTTTCTCATGTTTCTGTGTTTGGGTACATGCTATTCTCCCAGCTAGAAAGCCCTTCCCAACCTCGGGCTTGTACCAGGCAAACTCCTATCCAATCTTCAAATCTCAATTCATACCCTACTTTCCTTAACTTATGCTCCCATTGTACTTTAAATATACTCCTATAAAAGCAATTATCTTATTGTACTACAATTACTTATTTGCATGTCTGTAAGTCTCTTGAGGTCACAGAATGTACCTTTTCATCTATGCATTCCATAGGACGTAGAATATAGTAAATGTTCAATACTTGTGTTTTGCATGAATAAACAAAAAAGTGCAGTAGTAAATCCTTAACTGAGGCTACAAAGAGTATTTAATGATTTATTTTTATAATAAATTATATCAGTAGCAGTACATTAGTAGTATGAACTGATGGTATTAGATCAAAACACCTCTGATATGCAATGAATTAAATGAGCACACCCACCCTGTTACTGAAAAGCCCACCTAAGTGATTACTGACGAGTTAAAATTTCTTACTATCCTTACCTCCTTCAGAAGCTCAGCACTGTGTTCTAAAAGGTGAATTAAAGATGAACATTCTCCAGTTATCTTTAAGCTAACTTCACAGACACAAAGCAGTTGAAGGGTCAGCTGAGTAACCTGAATTTTCCAGAAAACAGGATGATGCAAAAGGCTTAAATATACTTCCTCGATGAACAGCATCACTTCTGTAGTCTGCACCAAATCTTTTACCTGTTTAAAAAGGTCAATATATGATATTTTTAAAAAATACAAATCAAAGGATAATTTTAAGCTACACAAGAAGCTTTTAACAATAAAACATTTTTCTCTAAACCTATAAACACTTGAGATAAAGCGACATAACTCAATGAAGGTTAAACTATTTAACTATGCCATCTCCTATTGTCACTAACCAAAATACAATTTGCTACTATTTTTGTTACTGTTGGCTGGCACAAATTCTTTTCATTTATTTTTCTAACTTCTCTAAGTGCAGATGTCTTAAGACAAATTACATGACAGTGGCAACATGTCAAGGAAAATTAATTAGAGCTGGTTTTGAGTTCTCCAGATGAACTCTCCTTTCCACAATTTCAACATAGATAACTGGTAGTAAAGGGTCAGCATGTCATTTTAATGCACTACTAAGTCCTTCACCTGCAAGATATTTGCTTAGACAGCCTTAACTGACAGCATCATTTCCACAATAGGCAGATGTAATAAAAGACCATATTCAAATGGTAGGGTGTCTTCTCAACAGGCTAAAGTGTTAGGAAGGACTTAGGTGCTCTTGAAAATCCCAATTCAATTCAAACCCAGCTGTTCTTATAAAAATTCTGGAGCTGGTAGTAAGGATATGGTCCTGCTCACAGACACATTGACATTTCCCAGAAACTACAAACAATAAACCATCTGCTTCAATCAGGAGCTGTGTGTCTGTTAAATTCATCAAAAAGAGAGCCTACAGTTAACCAGTGCTGTACCTTTCACCAATGGTTATCCTCATAAAAACCCCAAATGACTACAAGTTTTACACAGAGAGAAAAATTAGTTTTTAGAAAACAATAGAAAAAAAGACATTAAAAGATCAAGAGGAAAGAAATGGTAGAAAATATTAAATTATAAAAAATAAATGAACAGTCCAGTAACTAAATTATTTTGCTCTTTTGCAAACATACAGTGGGAAAGTCAAAAGGCCACCAAGAAAAGAGACAGATTTAAAACAAGGTAAAGCCTACTGGTTATTTGACAATATATTTCCTTGAACATACTTAAAATTTTCTGTAATAAAAAAATTCAAAAGACAACCTCAGCAAGTTAGTACTAAAGGCTTTAACTATCAACATTCTTAACAAGAATAATTTTGAAGTAATGCTCTATCTTTATGTAAAATAATATGTGCAATGACAAGAGTCACAATTAAAATGAAAAAAACAACTCCACAAATATAAAATGGAAGATCAATGGGTGTGAGAAGAAAAAGAAATGGGAGTTTCACTGACCCCTATCAAAGGTCAATAGGGTGGCATGGCTATTTAAAACAAAATAAATTTGTAATTTAAATGTGATTCTATCCCAGAGCTTGGTATGCATCAGACTACATCTGCAGTACTGTATTCAGCTCTAAAAAGACCATTTCATAGGAGCACATTCTGAACGCCAACAAACTGGAGAATTCCTGGAAAAGGACAGTGAAAAGAAAAGTCTGCAAACCATTCCACATGACAAAGTAAAGAATGTGATGAATAAAAGAAAGAAGGGAGGGAGGGAGGAAAGAATGGAAAAGAAAGAAGGGAGAAAAACAAGACAAGATATAGATGTGCTTTTTTAAAAGCTTATTTTGTTTTGTTCTAAGAAGAATAATAGAGACTAATTGGTACTCAGAAAAATAAGAGTTGATAAGAAGTACTTGCTAAAAAAAAAAAAAAAAAAAAAAAAAAGCAGTTGACATGCAAAATAGTATGGCTCCTATCACTAAAATATTCAATTAGTCATGGGATGGTCATCTTTTAGTGAACATAAGAAATACCTATAATGAGTGGGGAACTGGATTATATTGCCTCTAAGACCCCTTCCAACTCTCACATTCTTCATTCTAATAAAGCTGATGTTAAGTCATTTAATATATTTATGTCACCAAGTTCCAAATGATGAATCCCTTCTTTTCTCACGTATCTCATTTATATTAACATGTCAGATTCCCAGAAATATTCCACAGAGCTCATTTCTAGAAGTATTTAGGCTTGTCAATGCAGATTCATGAAGATAAGGGCAAACATTTACCAAAGAGCACACACAGAACAGGGTAACATAAACATGGTGTAAAAAACATACCCTAGTTCAAGATGTTCTGCCTATACATTGCTTTATTGCCCACACAAAACAAAAGCTTTGGAAAAGCCACCTGAGAATTGATTTTAATTAACTTTTCTCTGCTTTGATTACAGGAAAGCCTATTTATGACTCGCAAAGGAAAGATTCACTCTAGTCACTCCTTGATAACACAAACTTAAAACAGGTCATCTGTGACCTCAAGTAATCACTTTGAAATATATTCATAGATTCCCTCCATCAGCTAAGCAGCAAAATGCTCAGATTCCAAGCAAAAGGCAAACTTCAATTATGGGATGGGAAAATCACAACACACTGGCAACTGGATTTTTTTTTAAATATGCAGTTATAGAGACATTAGATCAAATATCTCTCTCCCTTGAACTCTCTCAGCACTTTATCCATACCTCTATTAACCACCTTTCATCCATCTACTTTGAATTGTAACAATGTATATACTTGCCCTACCTCATTTACAATACTTTGGGTTTCTCAAGAGCAGGATCCACCAGGGCCACCATATATGTTATACAGAAACATATAGATACTGGAATCTAGCCAACAATCAGCTGACCAACCTCTGTATCCTCAGAGCTTTATTTGCCCAAAGACACATCTTTTTCCTTAATTTGCACCAAGTTTTTATTTTTCCTTGTAATTCACCCAGTGTCTAGCACAAGAAGACACTCAACTCAAAATCTTTTCCTTGATAAGTCTTTCTTAAACAAAGGAAAGTTTTTATCCCTACTAATTCCAAGATGGACTATGTTGATTTACATTTCTGTGAGTTTAGTTAAAAAGGTATATATTAACATTAAATCTAGATTTAGTAACTTAACCTTCTCCTAAAGGCTGTGTTTCTAGAACTAGGTTTGTGTCTGAATTTGCCAAATCACTTAGGTTCTAGAACTATTTTATTTATGACAATAATAATCAACACTTACTGATGCTGATGCTGTATCAGTGAAGGAGGATGAAAAAGACCTTACCTGCAAACACGGAACTATGTCACAACACAGTTGAAGAATTTGTTGTTCCAATATTGATGGTTGTTCTTTGTCACAAAGAACCTGGGGTTGAAGTAAGACTTTCAGCAGTGCTAGTCTGAGTTTAGCATGTTCTTGTAACTGGGACGGTTCACAATATAGATACCATAGAAATGGTGCCATTATTTGGATACACGAAGCTTCTGACCTGCAAGTCATGTATTGTGTTAGCCAGTCACTGAGTTAATCACACTACCAAGCAGATAAATGGAAAATATCAACTTATAGTTCATGGCATATCATAAACTACCATACCATAAAGTGTAACTTCTTTTTATAATTCTTTTATTCCACTATGACCTACCTAGACCTATGCAAAATAGTTCTTTGTGCACTGGGGAAAATGACTCAACACCTGCAGATCATAAGCCAGATGCCCAGGAATTTCTATTTGCACATTAGAATAGCATCTACATCTCCAGAACCAGTCTTTGGTGAACATCAGAATCATCTGAGAACCTTTTTAGAATTATAGGAATCAGGATCCACTCCCCAGGAATATGACACAGGCATACATTTTTGGAAAAACTCTACAGGTAAGGATCTATGTAAAACAAATCCATACAAATATCCCAAGATAATTATGGTAATAGTTAACATTTACTTGTTAACTTGTTAATGCTTACAATATGCAAGTTACTGCACTTTATGTCTTTAAACTTATTTGATCCTCACCACACCCTATAAAATAAAAAATATTATTATCCCCATTACACAGATACAGAAACTGAAGGAGAGAGAAGTGAAGTAATTTCTCAAGGCTCTGCTCTTAAGCACTTCCCACTCAAAGGAGGAAGACCCTATAAATCTTTCACATCTATTTACGTTTCATAATATCTTGATAAATTCTAGTCCAAAGTCACTAAAATGCCAGAATAACCTTCAAAAATAAAAATCTGATTTCATTAACCAGCTTAAGACAAAATATTTAGCCCAATTCACAAACCCTCCATAATATGCCCTCCTCTTATCTTTCCAGCCTCATTTTTCACTTTTCACTTTCCACTGAACTACACTAAACTTTCAGGTTTTCAATCTGAGCTTTCTTCTCACTTGCTTTTCCCTCTACCTGTAATACTCCCCCCTTTCTCACTTCCTCTTCCTTCCCCTGCCCAATTTCTACTACCCTTTAGTTTTCTGATTTAAAATGACTTCCTAGAGTCCTTCCCTGACACCTAGCCTTGGTCAGATCCCCATTATGTGCTTCCACAGCACAATGACTTAATTGTCATTACATAGTTAATATATATATTCCCCTGCAAGACTATAAGCCAAATAAGGGCAGAGAACATGAATTTCTGTTTACTGCTGTATCACCAACAACTATATACACTAGGCCTTCAAAGAGATGCTCGATCATTCAGTTAATTCAGTTACACTAAGTTATAGAGTAGTTTTACAATTAGCATGCACCAATTAAATCACAATTTTATTTATATTAATGTTTTCACATTTATTATATAAGGAATTATTAGATAAGATACAAAGATGAACCAGGCATTATCAATCCTCAAGCAGCATACAATCTAACAGGGAGAATCAGTTATGATCCTGAACTAGAAGACAGAAAGTGAAAAGTGCCAAAGGAACAGCGTAAAGTGCAATTACTTCATGGAAAAAACATTTGAATTATGCTTCAAAACAAATACCATGCATTCCACAACAACGTGATTTCTAAACACCATTAACATTAATAAAAAATTAAGTTACCAAATCAGTAAGATTTAACTTTATTCATTCACTTATTCACTTGGAAAAATTTATTAATCACCTACAGTATACCAGTCACTCGTCTACGCTGGAAACAAAGCAAAAAACAAAAGGAAAGATTAAGTTCCTGCTGTCACGGAGCTCACAGTCTGGAAGAATGTTTTGTTTTATCATAAACACAAACACACAATCTATAAAAATCAAGAGAGGATTTCTGAGTTCATAATTATTACTGGAACATATATTTTTAATCCACTTTAGGATACTATGAAAAGCTTCATAGATAAAAGAATCAGATGATGTATGTATGGGTTGGAATACGAAGCAAAAGTTTCCAGAAAAGATTTGAGAAACATTGCTTCCCCATCTTTCCTCTAATAATGCATTCCCTGAAGAATAAATACTATCCAACTGTCAACAGCATTGACAGATAGCTTATCAGTTTTCTTCTACTTTGAAATGCTGAACATGAAATGCAAGGTTCACATAAAGATATATTTCTAAGATGCCCTTATGATTTGACATCGGGAGCATGATGTTTGGCTTTTGTAAGGACAATATGCTATTTAAAAATTTCCCTGGCTTAATCTGTCCTGACGTTAGATTCTGCCTTTCCTGTGTGGTATCTGATGATTAACTCTCACTTCCCAGGGCTATGAAATTGCCAGGGCTTAAGGAGAAATGGAAAATAATAAGACAGACAACCTGAAATCCCAAAGTGACTAAGAATGTTTAAAAATGTAACCAAGAACATCATCAAGATGGCAGAATAGATGGTTCCCAGCGTCTCTCTCTCCCACAAATCAACCAAATTTACAACTATAAAAATGTAACATCAGCCAAGCTGGTGCCACTGGAGCTCAGGGGAAGAGGAGAAGAGACCTACGGAGTTCATGAAGGTGGAAGAAACTACGATGAGAGAAAGAAAAAGCTGCTCTGAACGTTTTGGGCCGTGGCTGCTTTAAGGCTCAAGCTGATAAGCACGTGGAGCAGGAGCCGGCAGAAGCCTCAGCTGTGCCCTTCAGATGGAGTTACTTAGAGGCAGCAGGAAAGAAGAGGGATTTGACAGCCCCCAGGACAGCAAGACCACTAATAGGGTTCCCGTGAACCCACTGAAGAGTGAGGAGCCAGAACAACTGAAAAAGGGGAGCCGTTCAGAGGCCGGTGAGTCATCACAAGGGACCTGCGCAGGGCCCATCCCATGGGAAGTGTTTGGAGCATGAGTGGTGGGGGAGACGTGCCCACCAGGAGATCACTGGGACACAGCAAGGACAGCTGATCTGCCCCCCAATCAGCACAGGACCACTCAGAGGAGAATGGTCAGGAATGCAGAATTGCATGGGGTGCGGTTTGATGAAAAAACTCAGGCCCAGATCAGAGATTCTACAGAACACAGATCCACCGGGTCTCTGGAGAGCCGGAAGTACCTATAAGGTCAACCATTAAACCGTGAGCTGCACAGAAAGCCTTCCTAGGGAAACAGCAGCAAAATAGCAATTTAATCAACCACACAGTTCAAGTACTGGTTCTCACAGGAAGTTCCCCCATTTTAGAAGCAAGCAAAGGACAAAAAATTAGTTCCAGCCCAGGCACACCACCAGTACCTTGGGGCCTGTCTGGGAACCGGAGGCTTGGATCTGGGGACCGGACCCCACTCCCACTTCCAGGCAAAATGTGCCAGCGCCTCAGGGCCCACCTGGGGACCTGAGGCACGGAGAAGGGGACTGGACCCCCCTCCCACAACCAGGTACACCACACCAGCACCTCAGGGCCTGCCCAGTGACCCTAGGCATGGAGAAGGGGACTGGAACTCTCTCCCACAACCAGACGCACCATGCCAGCGCCTCAGGGCCTGTCTGGGGACCCAGGATATGGAGAAGGGGACTGGACCTCTCTCCCACAACCAGGCACACCTAGCCAGCACTGAAAGAAAGTGAGCCGAGATGCTGGGTACCTTTAAAGCTTTATTAAAGAAAGAAATCTGCCAGGCTGTACTCATAATGGAGGATAGCCCAGGGCTGCCCGGAAAACAGAGGACAACACCAGGTGTGGGGGTGGTAGAACTTATATAGTATGCCAAGGGCTGGCTGATACCATCAAGGAGGGTCATTATGCTAATGTGGATCAGGGTGGAGAACTGCGTCCTTGCGAAGCAAAAGGGGTTTCTGTTTAAGTCAGGAGGCTTCTCGTAAAGGGAAGAGGGGAGGGGCCCAGTGCTGGAGTGGAAGATGAGGCCAGCAGCCATCCTGTGCTCATTGTGTGCACAATGGCGCCGGTCCCATCCAAAATCCATCATTCCTGCCTTTTAAGTATAAGAAGGGAAAAGGGGTGAAGGTCTCATTCTTCTGAAGCTATTTCCTGCTGGAGATGGGTGAAGATATGAAAAAATAAAAGATTTATGTTGGCAAGTAAAACAGTTAGGTGGCGGGGTATTGGTTTCGTGTGGGGAGGCTGTATTCCTCCAGGGAAGGGTCACTGATTCTGAGGGGCTGATATCCTCCTCACAGGAACAATTCAGTGACCTTTTGGTTGGTGAAAGCCTGTATACATTCCTGCAAGAAATTAGAGAAACACCAAAAGAGACAGGGACCAAAAAGTAGGATGAGTCCCAGCACAGTTAGGGGTCCTAGTTGTAGCATAAGCCAGGGTGTCCAAGGGTTCAGTGAAATGGTTTAAGTTGTTTGGGATCACCCCGGACTCATTTACGTAATAACAGCATTCCTCCCCCAAAAAGAGGCAGGTGCCTTCCTTCTCGGCTGTAAGGAAGTAAAGGGCCTGATGGTTCTGTAAAGTGACTGTCACAAGTGAGGTGACCTGTCGCTGATGGGAGGAGATGCTAGTTCTTCTGAGAATTTTTGATAGAATTAAGAGGCAGTAGCAGGGCCTGCTATGCCAGTTCCAGTTGCAGGCAGTGTCCCTGCCCCAATTAAAAAGGTACAATTAGTGCCATATGGGGGTGAGGGGGCACCTCCTGAGTGGGGGGCCGAAGTTAGTCTTAGTCCCGTCTGTCTGGATGGTGATGTCAGGGATGAGCCAAATGAATATGCAAGAAATCGTGTTAGGGGGGCAGGCAACAGGATAACGTAGTTTTACAAAGGAAATATATTCCAGTTTTAGGGCATGGATGAGGAGGGGATAAGTGAGTGGTAGCCTTTGGTGTTAGTGAGGCAGAGTGTGCGCAGGCCCCGCATAACACTGACAGTCCCCATTGAGGTGAGATTAGAGGAAACTGAAGAGACATTCATGGAAACTTTACGGGCTGCATCGACAGGGAGGGGGTGACCACAAAAAGTTTCTCACGAAGTGGGAGACAGATGAGTCGCTTGAGGACCCGTCTGATTCGCTGAGGACTGCATTATCCCTGCAGACCTGGAACCTCCATGTTCCAGGTAAGGGGGAGCATTGAGATAGGAGGAAACACACGGGAAGGATGTTCAG